AACTCCAATTCTCGACTCGTTTTGCATGATTTCTTCCAAATGCATTTCAAAAGCCCCTGTACCTAAAAAATGGTAAAAACCACCTCAAAGTAACATATTCTCGGTAAAACACACAAATGAAAGCCAAAAACATAACAAAATACTAAGGCAAATATTGGTTTATCAGGTATATCTATAAATTTATGTAAATAGTACGGGTATATTTATTATTTTTCTAAATAGTAAGGGTGTATTTGTAATTTGATGGAACATGGTCGAGTACCCAGAATGGACCGGTTCCGGTTCCAAGGGTTTGGGCTAGGTTCCCAAACCCTAAACCCCTAAATTACCCAGTATAGGCCAAAAAAAAAAAAAAAAAAAAGGATTTTGTTGGACCTAACTTTTGCCCTCTTCGCATTCAACTGCTTACAAATTTTAAGATTCAATGTTTTAATTACCATTTATTTTCCAGTTCTCCAGTACAACCTCACACAATTATAAGATTGGCTTATATAAAATATTATTAACCTTTGATTTTCTTTCAACTCTTCTATTATAAAGCACTCGCATGTCAATGTATATGTTTTGTATTTTTCTTCTTCATTCCAAAAAGTTTATCAACAATTTCCATGCCTTGATGGTAGTATCATTCATTCTCCTTTTTAAAAGAAAAGCAAGAAAAGAATACAAACAAAATAATAATAATAATAATAAAGAGAAAGAACGATTCAATTTTCTCTTATGATTCAATATAGAGTTTATCAATAAAACAACCATTGTATTTTATAATTTCAAATTATTATTTTTCTCTAATAATTAAATTCTTCACCTATTCAAAATATAAGTTTTAATTGGTGCCTCAAGTTTGATTTTATGGTCAGTTTTTTCTACTTTTAATCTTTAATTTTTAACATATCGATTATTTCTTTTTATTTGCTCCCACTGAAACAAATTGTTGGCTCCGTGACTCCGTCACTACAAGGAGGTGGTGATACTGTTAATAGTAAGTTGCTAGGCTGTAATCTGTAAACTCCATAAGGTTAAATCCATAATCTACCCAGAAAGAGGCTTGCTGCTTTTTTTAATAGGGAACCGATGGTAATATGCTTAAAGAATTTACTAAGTTGTCTCATTAATATTATTTTTATTAGAGAAAATCAACCTCCAAGCATGGTTTTAAAACCCGGACTGGCCTGGCCAGTTTAACCGGTTGAACTAGGACCCGGGCCTCCTCCGAGTCGGGTCACACTTTCAACTGTTTCAAGTTTGAAATCTTGTAAACACACCCCTAATTAATACAAATCAGTCCCTAAAGGTTTGAAATCTAACAAACACACCCTCTGGCCAAATGCAAATCAACGATGAACCCCCATTTTCCAGAGACCTTCCACCTTCCCTTGTTGTCGAAACACCTTCTGACTTTCTCCAGTGCCGTGACACTTCATCTCCCGCAGCCGCCGTGCGATGTTTCGTCGTCCAATAACTTTTCTTCCATTTCTCGACATCAATCGACCTTCTCTGGCATCGAGAGGCCTCCTCAGCCACCGATCTACCTTCTCCCAAGTCCCTTGCCATCGTTCATAAAGAACCATAGTCATCTCACCAAAAAAGTCACCATGACCTTTGACTTCCACTACCGATCTGCCATTTTCCGGCGATGCCTCAACTTGCCAACTGCTTATTCGTCCACCCCATCACTCGATCTACCCTCCCTGGTGTGTTGCCACCGCTCTCCCAGTCGATCGCTAATAAGAGTGTAATTTATATATTTTTATTCTTTCCATATTATGTTTTTTGTTATGTTTTATGCCTAGTTGAGTTGATTAGATTTTATTTTGTAAGTTTGGCATATTTGGATAGACTTTATGAAATAATTGAGAAAAGATTAGGAAATTCCAGATTTCCTGTTATTTGGACCAATGCTGCGTTTTTCAGGTTTTTCATGGAGTCAGATTTCTCGATTACAAAAGTGTTCTTAAAAAAAAAATAAAGTAGACAAATCAAGCTTTCTAGGAAGGTATTATGGGCAAGAATCCGAGTTCGTTTGGGCCCTCATTAGTTGTTACAAAACCGAAATTGAAATCCCACTCGCAGAAGGATTCCTGGCTGAATTTTGAGTCTTCGAATGGGCCTAACTGGAGTTTCAGATATCGAAAGCAGGTGATTCAAAAGCTCAGATTCATTTACACATCCGGGACTACAATTTTTATGAAGTGACCAAGCCCAGAAAAGTTCTTTTACATTGCAAGAATCCTAGTGCAAACTGGAGACGAATTCTATTTTCCATATCTGATAAGATTTTGACAATTTTGGAAGTCTATCTTTTAGGAAAGATCTAGGAAAGCAATTTCCATGATTCATGGGGTAGAATTAAGGAAACTACATGTTATTTATTGATGAGTTGTTAGGTTAAACAGGAGAGGGGAAGAACAGCAGTAGAGTTTAGTTTTTAGTTTTTTTACTTTTGACGTCAAGATGTGCGGTTGATCTTTCTTCTTCAGTTCAAGGGGATTTTGAAGCCTAAATTCATGTCATTCGTGTAACTTAACTTCAATAATATTGTTCTCAATCTCGTTTTTATTGGAATTGTCTATGTTATTCTGTTTTTATGAATTGTGTTTGAGTGATTTAGTAATGGCCTGCTGAATTGTTTAATCGGAATTTCATCTGTTAGAATTAGGGATGATGATACGTAATTGTCCTCTTCCTATTCAGTAAGTAACACATGATGATAGGTGATTATGGACAAGTTTTCAATCTGTCATCCTGAATAACATAACCTATGTTAAATAATCCGATCTTGCGTAATTGTTGCTTGGATTGATCTGTTTTCCTAATTCTTAAGGCTGCCATTGAATTAAACTTAGAGAGCTTATTCTAGGTTGTTCAAGGGTTAGGATCTACTTGAATAGCTTATTTCAGTGGTGACAATTAAGGGGAAATTTGGGTAACAGAGCTTGTTGTTTCCTAGGGTCTGTAGTTCCATAATAACGAGATAGAATAATGTTACGGTTAGTTCATGTCCAATGCATGTTTAGGTGGATCTTGAACCGAGAACTGGGTGTTTTTAACCTGATATTTTCTACCATTGGAGATTTATTTGTTTCACTTTAGTTTGCATTGATTACAACCCCTTTCATTACTGTTCTCATGTTTAATGTTTAGGGTTTTATTTTATTTTGTTTTCATTGTTTTAGAATATAGAATTTAAGCGAAGCATTCCCTGTGGATCGACCCTTGCTCACCCTATATACAATTTAGTAGTTAAGTTAGTAAGGTTAATTAATTTAGTACATTCGGCACGCAATCAAATTTTGGTGTTGTTGCCAGGGAATGTTCTTTGTCGATTATTTTTTATGTTCTATGTTCTTGTGTTATTTCATTTAATTAGTGTTTAGTTGTGTTTTTTTATTTTTTTAATTGTTCAACTGTGATTTTTTTTTTTTAGGTTTTTGAAAAAGAAAAAAAAATTGTGAACAGTAGTACTGTTCCTAATGAACAGTAGTACTATTCATAAGAGAAATTTTGGTTGAATTAGGAGTGCTGTGAGTACCTGTCTCGAAGAAAACAAAATTCGGAGAAAGACTAGAACTCTAGCCCCACCTCTTGTCCTCAAATTCGATCTTTTAATCGGGTTTTTGGCCAATTTTAGTTTCTATCAAGAAAAAAATTTATTTTTTATTATTAGTTTTTATTTATTCAGGCTTAATTTGCTGATTTTAGTGGTTTATGACTCGGTCCAATTCTACAAGAGAGTTGGAATTTGATCCAGAAATCGAAAGCAATTTTGAAAGTTGCAAAAAGAGGCACGTCAAGCAAGTTCTTCATCTCCTGGTCTCAATATAGCCTTTGGTTCAGCATCCCACAGTTCATCTAGTGATCCAGATTCAGAAATAGAAGAAGAGATGGCCGCTGACAGAACATTAAAGAAGTTGGCTGCTTCTGATTTTAATCAGCAGCCTTTGCATATTCAATACCCTACTTTAGATGCTGCTTTTGAACTTAAGTCTGGTCTAACTCACTTATTGCCTGTATTTCGTGGTCGTGCAGGTGAAGATCCAAATAAACATCTTAAAGAGTTCCACGTAGCTTGTTCAAGCATGAAACCAACAGGGGTGACAGAGGAGCAGATTAAGTTGCGAGATTTTCCCTTTTCATTGGGGGATGATGCAAAGGATTGGCTCTATTATCTACCATTGGGGACAGTCGCAACATGGAACGAGATGAAAAGGCTGTTTTTAGAAAGATATTTCCCAACCTCCAGAGCTGCCACCATCAGGAAAGAGATATGTGGTATAAGGCAATATAATGGGGAGACAATGTATGAATATTGGGAGCGATTCAAGAAGCTATGTGCAAGCTGTCCTGACCACCAAATAAGTGATCAGTTGTTAATTTAGTATCTCTATGAAGGATTGCTGCCTATGGAAAGAAATATGATAGATGCAGTAAGTGGAAGTGCGTTGGTGGATAAAACTCTTGAAGCTGCCAAACAGTTAATCTCAAACACGGCTGCCAATTCCCAACAGTTTGGTACAAGACATGATGCACCACCCAAAAGGGTGAATAAGGTAAGCACATCTTCCATTGAAAAACAACTATCTGATCTTACCTCTCTTGTTAGACAGTTGGCTGTAGGGAATGCACAACAGGTAAAAGCTTGTGGGATATGTTCGACAATGGGACACCAAACGGACATGTGCCCAACACTTTAAGAGGAAGGGGCTGAGCAGGTTAATGCAGTAGGAAACTTTCCTGGACCACCGAGGCAGTATTATCCTTACTCCAACACGTACAATCCAGGTTGGAGGGATCATCCGAATTTCAGTTATGGAGGAAATAGACAAGTAGGAGGTAGACAGAATTTCTTCCAGAATAGACAACAATAAGGGTTTCAACCGAAGCAACCTGCCTCACAGAATTCAAACTCATCCCGGGAAGATATAGTTAAGTCCCTTGCTTTGAATACCAAATAGTTTCAACAAGAAACAAGATCTAGTATTCAAAGTTTGGAGAATTAGATGGGTCAAATGGCAACTACTATAAGTCGTTTAGAGACTCAAGTTGGAGGGAAGTTACCTTCTCAAATAGTGGTAAACCTAAAGGAAAATGTGAATGCAGTGATGCTAAGAAGTGGCAAGAAAATGGAAGAACCGAAGCTGAACATTCCAAGTGTAGCAAAGTAGAAATTGAAGATGAAATTGAGAAAGAAGAGGCTACAACTGAATCAAAGGTAATTCCTAACCCTTCAATTCAACTTCAATCTAATACTTTACCTTTTCCTAGCAGATTCGTGAAGTCAAAGAAAGAAGAGAAGGATAAAGAAATATTGGAGATGTTTCGCAAGGTGGAAGTGAATATACCTTTGTTGGACGCAATTAAGCAAGTGCCGAGGTATACGAAATTTCTTAAGGAGCTATGCACCAATAAGCGGAAGTTGAACGGTGATGAAAAGATAATAATGGGAGAAAATGTGTCAACAGCTTTCCAAAGAAAACTTCCTCCTAAGTGCAAGGATCCAGGTATGTTTACAATTCCTTGTAAGATAGGTAACACTAGAATTGAGAGAGCTATGTTAGATTTAGGAGGTTTGATTAATGTTATGCCACGATCTATTTATGCTTCCTAGGTCTTGTGAAAGATACTAGTGTTATTATCCAATTGGCTGATCGCACTAACGCATTCCCTGAAGGGGTAGTTGAAGATGTTCTTGTGCAGGTCAATGAGTTAGTGTTTCTTGTTGATTTCTACATTTTGGATATGGATGATTCTTCTTCTCCTGACCCTGCACCTATCTTACTGGGAAGACCATTCCTAAATATAGCTCGAACAAAAATAGATGTTCATGATGGTACCCTCACGATGGAATTTGATCGTGAAGTAATTCGTTTTAATATTTTTGATGCCATGAAATATCCAACTAATGTTCAGTCTATTTTTGCTATTGATGTTGTTGATTTTGTTGATTCCATAGTATAAAAGATCTTTGAGTTAAATAATGCAGATGAGTTAGAGGTTGCCCTTCTCAAACATGTGGAATCAGAGGAGAAAGGAGAGATAGAGCTCAATGAAGAATTGAAAGAGACAGTGGCAGCTTTACGTTCTTTAAAACTGATTCCAGAAAGGTATGGAGTTTCTTTTATAAAGCTGACTGATTCTCACCAAAAATTATTGCCTTCTAATTTGCAGGCCCCTACACTAGAGTTGAAGCCATTACTGGGCCATTTGAAGTATGTGTACTTGGGAGAGAATGAGACACTACCGGTAATTGTGTCGATGACGTTAACACCCAATTAAGAAGAGAAACTGGTTCGAATGTTGCGGGAACATAAGGAAGCGATTGGCTGGACCATAGCTGACATTAAGGGGATTAGTCCTTCCATATGCATGCATTGGATTTTGCTTGAAGAAGGTGCCAAACCGACACGGGAAGCGCAACGCAGATTAAATACCCCAATGATGGATGTGGTGAATAAAGAAGTCCTAAAGCTTTTAGATGTTGGGGTAATTTATCCAATTTCCTACAGTAAATGGGTAAGTCCAATGCAAGTTGTCCCCAAGAAATCTGGTGTTATAGTTGTGAAGAATCAAGGCAATGAGTTGGTCCCTACACGTGTTCAGACAAGCTGGTGTGTGTGCATTGATTACAGGAAGTTAAACTCAACAACTCTAAAAGATCACTTTCCACTTCCCTTTATTGATCAAATGCTTGAGAGGTTAGCTGATCATATTTACTACTGTTTTCTTGATGGATTTTTAGGGTATAACCAGATTGTCATAGCACCGAAGGATCAAGAGAAGACGACATTCACATGTCCATTTGGTACTTTCGCCTATCGTCGTATGCCATTTGGTCTCTGCAATGCTCCGGCCACATTTTAGCGATGTATGGTAAGTATCTTTTCAGAATATGTTGAGTCAATTATAGAGATTTTTATGGATGATTTTAGTGTTTATGGTGATTCATTTGATCAATGCTTGCATAACCTTACAGAAATTCTAGACAGATGCATGGAAACTACCTTGTACTTAACTGGGAAAAATGTCATTTTATGGTAGAGCAAGGTATAGTTTTGGGGCATATTGTTTCATCCAAGGGAACAGAGGTTGATAAGTCTAAGACAGATTTGGTTATGGCTTTACCTTACCCCGCCAGCGTGCGGGAAGTTCAATCTTTTCTTGGCCACGCAGGTTTCTATCGGAGATTTATCAAGGACTTTTCAAAAATCGTATTGCCCCTATGCAGATTGTTACAAAAAGATGTGGATTTTTAGTTTGATGAGCAGTGCAAGGAGGCATTTGACAAGTTAAAAACATTGTTGACGACAGCAATAAAACCACCTAATTGGGATCTACCTTTCGAAATTATGTGTGATGCGAGCAACTACGCATTAGGTGCTGTCTTGGGTCAAAGAGTTGGCAGAGCATGTCACGCCATTTATTATGCATCTAGGACCTTGAATGATGCCTAACTCAATTATTCTATGATTGAAAAAGAACTTTTATCTGTTGTTTTTTCTTTAGAAAAATTTCGGTCATATTTTTTGGGTGCTAAAGTCATTGTTTTTTCTGATTATGCAGCTCTTAGGTACTTGCTCACAAAAAAGGAGGCAAGACCAAGGCTAATTAGATGGATTCTTCTACTCCAGGAATTTGATTTGGAGATTAAAGATAAAAAGGGAGTAGAGAATGTTGTAACAGTTTACCTTAGCCATTTGGTTTGTGCCAACAATGAGCTTCCTTTGCGAGAAACATTTCTGGATGAGCAATTGTTTTCCATTGAAATGGCTTCACCATGGTATGCAGATATTGTTAATTTTTTAGTTACTAACGTGTTGCCAAATGATTTGACTAGAGCTCAAAAGGACAAGATCAAGAGTGATGTCAAGTATTATGCTTGGGACGATCCATATATGTGGAAGCATTGTGCTAACCAAGTGATAAGAAGGTGCGTATCTGAACATGAATTTATTCCTATTTTAACCTTCTGTCATACCTATGCATGAGAAGGACATGTTGGACCACAAAGGACAGCTCGTAAGGTATTGGAATGCTGTTTTTATTGGCCATCGTTGTTCAAGGATGCCTACATATTCTGTAAGTCATGTGATAATTGCCAAAGAGTAGGAAACATTTCTCGTAGAGATCAAATGCCACAATCTCCTATATTTATTGTTGAAATTTTTGATGTTTGGGGCATTGATTTTATGGGTCTATTTCCTGTTTCCTCTGGTAATGTTTATATTATTTTAGTTGTTGATTATGTTTCCAAATGGGTGGAGGCGAAAGCCACCAGAACTGACACTTAAAGGTTGTTGCAGATTTTGTTAAAACTAACATTTTTGTCAGGTTTGGGATACCAAGGGCTGTAATCAGTGATAAGGGTACTCATTTTTACAATAGGACAATAGAGCCATTGCTTAAGAAATACCATTCACACACAAGGTCTCCACACCATACCACCCACAAACCAATGGCCAAGCGGAGGTGTCAAATAAAGAGATCAAATCAATTTTGGAAAAGACAGTGAACCCAAACAGGAAGGACTGGTCTTTGAGATTAGATGATGCATTATGGGCATATAGAATAGAATATAAGCACCTATTGGCATGTCTCCATACAGATTAGTGTTTGGTAAGCCGTGTCATCTTCCAATGGAATTAGAGCAGCAGGCCTATTGGGCAATCAAGCATTGCAATATGGAAATGAAGGAAGCCGGCGTTAACAGGAAGTCGCAATTGCAAGAACTTGAGGAGTTAAGGAATGATGCCTACGAGAGTTCACACATCTACAAAGCAAAGACTAAGGCCTTTCACGACAAGATGATCTCTAGGAAGAATTTTTTTGTTGGACAGAAAGTCCTTCTTTTTCATTCAAGGTTGAAGTTACTTCCAAGTAAGTTACGTTCTTGTTGGGTGGGACCTTTTATTGTGACTAATGGTTTTCATCATGGTGCAGTAGAAATCCAAAGTTTGAAAACAAACAAGGTGTTTAAAGTCAATGGACATAGGCTTAAGCCTTACTATGAAGGGTTCCAAGTTTGCAATATTGAGGAGGTGGGATTGGAGGAGTCGATACATGAGTAGTGATGACCATGTAGAGAGTCGGGCTAACGACTTTAACCAAAGGCGCTGCTTGGGAGGCAACCCAAGAATTTCGATTTGATTTTCTTTTCCTTTGAATTTAGTTTTTTTTATTTTATTTTATTTGTTGTCTCTACATTTGGGTCTTACATTGGGGACAATGTAAGTTTTAAGTGTGGGGGAGAAGATAGGCTTTAGGTGTTTGTTTATGTTGAAACAAAAAAAAGGAGTTTTTGTTTTTAGGAAGGTTTATGCTTTAAGTCATGTCTTTGAACGTATAGTGATGCATGAAATAGTAACTTGACTTTGTTATTGAGCATATTCCTTGACTTAGGATGTTAGCAATATTTCATAAAATAGAGTTAATTATATTTGAAACTTTATAGTTTTGAAACAATATATCTTGATAAGTTGTATGAACTTGGTGACGAAGCATGATTAAGGAGTGTCTAACAACCCTTAAAAGCAAAAAAAAAAAATTGATTCTCTTAAGCTAGTCCTAAATTTGGGTTTAAGCAAATAGGGAAAAAAAAAAAAAAAGAAAGAAAGTTATGTGATGAGTCGAGATGGAGCGTAAAACACACTCACTCATAAACACAACCATGAAATGAGATAGAGCAGAAAAAAAAGAGAAAAAATATCCCTAGTTTGCTACCCAGTTTGCAGTAGTAAAGAGAAACAGTTGAGGAAAAAGTTGAGAGGGGAGTTGTACATTACTTGGTTTTGATTAGTTTCCTTGTTTGCATGGACTGATTGAGAGTAATTGAGGAAAATGATGAAGAGAGATGAATGTACTTAACTCTACTTTTTTTATTTTGCTGCTTCCTAAGTCAAGTATGAATATGCATGGTATTGTTGCTTATGCATCATGATGGTGTTCTTGATATGACTTGAGTGTAGTTTGTTTTAGTGTTTGAATTAGTTTGCCCGAGGATGTGCAAAAGCTAAGTATGGGGGAATTTGATAAGAGTGTAATTTATATATTTTTATTCCTTCCATATTATGTTTTTTGTTGTGTTTTATGCCTAGTTGAGTTGATTAGAGTTTATTTTGTAAGTTTGGCATATTTGGATAGACTTTATGAAATAATTGAGAAAAGATTAGGAAATTCCANTCCTCTACACTCAGGATATGAGAGGGATCACTTACATACTTCCGCAGCATTGAGACATGGAAAACATCATGTACCTTGTCCATGCTAGGTGGTAGTGCCAATCTGTAGGCCACCTTTCCCACTCGTTGTAGAATCTCAAATGGACCTACATATCTCGGTGCCAACTTCCCTTTGTTTCCGAAGTGCATCACTCGCTTGTAAGGGGAAACTTTCAAAAACACTTTATCGCCCACTCGGAATTCCACCTCTTTCCTCTTCAAGTCAGCATAACTCTTCTGACGATCTTGGGCTTGCTTTATTCTGTTTCTGACTAACTTTACATCCTCTATCAATTTCTGAGTCTCCTCTGGCCTAAGAGCGGTACTCAACTCATCTTTTTCACCTACCTCATCCCAATGTAGTGGAAACCTGCATCGTCTACCATACAAAGCCTCGTAAGGCGCCATTTTAATTGTGGACTGATAACTGTTGTTGTAGGCAAACTCCACTAAGGGTAACATCTCATGCCAGGATACTCTATAATCCATGCAACAGGCTCTCAACATGTCCTCGAGCACCTGATTTGTTCTCTCGGTTTGGCCATCCGTCTGCGGATGATAGGCAGTACTGAATGCTAAACGGGTACCCAAATGTATCTATAAACTCGTCCAAAAAGCTGAAACAAATCTGGGATCTCTATCAGACACTATAGTCTTGGGCACACCATGTAACCTGACTATCTCCTTAAGGTAAATCTGAGCCAACTGATTTGTAGTGGTGCTTTCCTTTACTGGAAGGAAATGGGCTAACTTGGTTAACCTATCCACAATCACCCATATAGCATTATACCCTTTCTGAACTCTAGGGAGACCTGTGATGAAATCCATCGAAATACTCTCCCATTTCCACTCTGGAATACTAAGTGGCTGAAGCAACCCTGACGGCCGTTGGTGTTCTGCTTTTACCTGCTGACAAACCAGACATTTAGCTACAAACTCTGTAATGTCTCTCTTCATACCTGACCACCAATAGCCTTTCTTTACATCTTGATACATCTTGGTTGCTCCAGGATGAGCGGTGTATGGTGTGTCATAAGCTTCTGTAAGGATTCTCTTTCTCAA